GCAGATCGCGACGGGCAGGTAGAGAGTCGGAGGGACCACGCTCGATATCGGAGCGTAGCTGCTTAAGGGTTTCGAGGTCGTCCTCGAGGTTCTGAGCCTCCCGTTCGGAGTAGTTGATCACGATGTAGTTTCGAAGAGGGCGGTAGAGGTCCACAGGCACCGTCTTCTTCTCGTAGACTGCTAGCATAGCGTTCGCCCACGCCGACGACGACGGTGCAGCCATGATCTGATGGTGGCTATTGACCGGAGCGTAAGTTAAGTACGGAGTAAAAGAAAGCTACTCCGTATATAGAGATTATCATGCGGAAATTGACACTATAATTTGCCTTGTTCAGATGTCTGCACTTAATGGTTCAGACTGTTTGTTTCAGCCTCTTAATGGTTCAGATGTCTGAATGGTTAAGAGATTTGCCTCTGAATGGTTAAGTATTATACAGAGTCTGAATGGTTAAGAGCTCTTATCTAAATTGATCAGACATTTGCCTCTGAATAGTTAAGCAATATACTAGCTCTTAATGGTTCAGACCTCTTACTGGTTCAGCACTTAATGATTCAGACCTCTTACTGGTTCAGCACTTACTCATTCAGAAGTTGCCAAACAGCCCCTAAGTCATATACTCATAGGAAAATGCTAGGGGTACACCAAAAGTGTACCCCAAACATCCCCCACCCCCTCCATCACCACACAAAAAAGGCAAAAAAATTTCAAAAAAATTTAAAAATAAAAATAAAATAAAATGAATGGTTAGTAGGAGGGTGGTGTACATTTGGGGTACACTTTTTGGTGTACCCCTAGCATATCCCATACTCATATCCCGCAAATTGCTGAGGTGTACCTTAATAATACTCTCTTCCTCCCTAAATATATTACAATTTTTTTCTTTCTTTTCTCGATAATTTTTGATTGTTTACGCGATTTCATTAAATATTTAATAAACTAAAATATTCTTGTCACCTCTTGTTTTGTAGATTTTTTGACGTAGTTTTTTTAATATGTAATTTTTATATCTTATTGATATACCAATTTGTAAATAAAATGATTTCAAAAAATAGGAAATTTTACTTCGTAACCCGCAATTTGTAATCTATTTAGGGACGGTGGGAGTAATAATAATACTCCCTCCCTCCTAAAACCATCTTCCCGTTTGTGTTTACAAAGTTTGACCGACTTTATTTTTCAATTTAATTTATTTGATTGTAGATGTAAAATTAAAAAATAAAATGTATATATCTAAAAACTACATCAAAAGTTCTACAAAACAAGATGTGACAAGACTATATTAGGTAGTAGTAGTAGTAGTAGTAATAATAATAATAATAAGGGTGTTTTTAAATCCACCACACTTTTGGCTATATCCACCTTATTTATTACAAATGTACAAAATTGCCCCTAAAAATGTAAAAAGAAAAAATAACATGTAAACTTAGCATAAGGATAAACTTGTTAAATTCTCTTAAATGGGGAGGATATAGCCAAAAGTTGGGTGGATTTAGTAACACCCTAATAACAATACTATGTAATAATAAAAGAAGAATGAAAAAAAAGAAAAGTTCATCTAGAGTAAGTTTTTAGAATCTTTAGGATACCGCAGGGTATATGGTACAGTCGCCTGCACCAGAAGTAAAGTACAGCCTCGGGTAGTACTCATTTTAAAGTAAAGTAGTACACATTCTCGCATAAGACATAAGTATTCATTTGAAATAACGTAATACTCATTCTAAAATAACGTAGTACTCATTTTGAAATAACGTAGTACTCATTTTCACACATTTGTTCAATACAATTATAATATTCATTTATGAATAAAGTAGTGTTTATTCTGAATCAAAGAAAATGCTCATTCTCAAATAACGCAATGCTCGTTCTCAAGTAATGTATTGTCCATTCTCTTCAGATTTGAAAAATATAATCCACCACAGCCATCTTCATCGCATATCTCCACCGTCAATGTAGTTAGGTTCATCGCATAGCATCTTCATCGCATCCCATCTGCTGCAAAACTCGACCATCAACGCTCGGCCTCTTGTAGCCACCACCACCTTCACCTGTCTATGGTGGTCACCTCTTCGCACTACGTCGGCCTCCCCTTCAGTCTATTGCCAATCTCCCCTTCATCTGCACGCCTCTTCTTCCTTCGATCTAATTACTGGCTGTACCAAAAAAACGTTATAGCCGATTGTACCGTACAATTTGTAGCAAATTGTTGTTGTGTGCCTTAATAACAATAATGATGATGATAATAATAATAATAATAATAATAATAATAATAATAATAATAATAATAATAATAACAGTAATACTAATAATAGTAATAATAATAATAATACTCCATAATTAAAGAAGACAAAAAAAGGAAATTCCCTCTAGATTTAGTTTTTGGATATTTTAGAATACTTAGAGTATATTTTTTAAAAAAGATGAGATCTAGAAGTTCTTTCTACAAAATTGGAGTTACATAGCAGCAATTTTTAGGAAGAAAAAAAATGAAAAGATAATGGAGCAAGTGAATATGAGGGAGGGATGGAAGGAAAGTCCCGTCGGAGTTAGCTTTCGGATATTTTTAAGGTATCCCAGAGTATATTAAAGACAACGTGTCTTGTAAGTTCTTATCATAAAAGTGAGGTTACCCCGTGATATACCCCGGGCGACTACCAACGACTCTAAAGTCGTTAAAACAAATTAACGGAATAATGGCTAAGTATTATGATTCCTTTTGGACCGAACTTATCAATCCTAAAACCCGCCACATAGCCATAATTTCCCTGAGCCCAACTCCAACTTAAAAGGCCCAGCCATTCTCATCCAATCCAAACCCCAAAATATCCAAAATAATAAACCCAAAACTACATTTATTTTTCCTCCATCCCTGGCCAAAAACCTCATGCCACAACCCTGCCAATACCACTCCTTTACACATCAACTTGGCTAAACAAACAGCCATAAAATCCAAGACACCTTGACCCACCCACACACCCTTCAATTCCCCATGTTTTTACCCATATCCAGCCCAGGAAATACCTCCAAATAACCTGCTACCCCACCCTTTTTCTCCTGCCCAAAACAACCCCACCTAAGCCAATCAATTGTGAATTATATTCACATATTCCCTCCCACCACTAATAGCCAAAATCCTGCCCTACAAGTACAATAATCCCTGTGTTTTTCCCACTAAAGGAACATCAACAAGTGGCCATTAATTTCTTTAATTTGTGTGAATAAGAGACTTGGTAGTCTCCCTTTTCTATGCCTATATAAGCTCATCC